TGACAAAAATGAGATTACATGGATAAAGCATTTAGAATTGTGCTTGGCTTATGGTAAGGGATGATTACATCGCCCTTATTTTATTAGTACTGAAAATACTACAGGAGGCACAGCAGACAGAGTCAGTCCAAGCGTCTATGAATCAAGCCTTGTGTTCTCAAGTAAACTTCTCAACCTTCCGGGGCCCAGCGGAATGTTCACTGTGAAAGTAGTTCTGTTGATACTGCATTAAAATACACTGAAACTTTCATTGAATCCAGGGCTTTTGCACTGAGCTGTGTCCCCAGCCCTTTTAAAAATTTGTTTAAAATAGGGTCTCATAAATTGCCCAGACTGGGCTTGAACTTGTGGTCCTCTTGCTTCAGCCCACACTAAGACTGATCCCTAAAGATGCCAGTGTCGTGGGTTGTGTGGAAACAACCACTGCATTTCCTGACTGGGCATAAAACCTGAAACTCCACTGACAGCCTATTTAGAGGAACCACGAAAGAGGCTCTGAACATCTGAGGGAGGCTCTGAACATCTGAGGGAGATTTAAGAACAAGGGTTTAACAGCTGACTTCTCCAATTAATCCAGAAACTGAGTCTTGTTTTCCTTTATCCGAGGACAAACAGGCTTCTGGGGGCAGAACTTTATTTCCATGGTACCGGGCCTCCCTGAGATTGGCGCATTTTTATTAAGTGAACTCATACTGTAGGTGTTTGTAATGGTTGATACATTGTGTCAACTTGAGTTTAGAAGTTTCAGTGGCTGAGCAGGGACCAGGGTCCTCGCTTTGTAAACCTCCTGAGCCTGTGCAAGAGGAGGGCTCAGAGATGGTGTGGGCAGGTAGCCTGCTTACAGTAAAAGGAAGGAAAAAAAGGCTTGCTTTCTCCCTCTTTGGCTCATTTTTGCTGTCTCCTGGCCCTTTGAACGGTTGCCGTGTGTCACACCACCCTGCCTTGGAGCCAGTTGATTATGGACTGAAACCTCCACAAACTGTGAGCTAAATAAACCTTTCCTTCCTCAGTTTTGGGCCTTGGATATTTTACCTCAGCAATGAAAGAAAAGTAACCATGACAGTGTTGAAGTGAATAAATATTTAAGCAAAACTCCTCTGGGATAAAGAGGTATGAGTTCTTCACATAATGAAAATTATCTTATGGGAAACTGCTCAGAGCACAAGAGTCCCAGGTCCCCGTTCCTCCAGCTCCCCGTGCTGCTAGCTCAGGGGAAGAAAGGCACAAGTGTGGCTGAACTCTTCATGGTCACATTGCCTGCAGCACTTTACCTGCCTTAATTTCCCCTCCTGCAACCTCCCAGCCTCCTGGGAGGGAAACACTTCTCTAGCTTAGCTCATGCTTGTACCACGTGACACGAAGTTTCAGAGGAGGCAGTGGAGGTGTCCAGTAGATACCGGGCAACGCCCGCATGCTCCTTATGAGACGTCCAGGCACACAAGTGGGTATTTGCAATGCAGGCATCATATTCGGCCCACAGCCCAGGAACTAAAGACAAGTCATGACTGGCTGAAGGGGTTTTCAAGGGGCCGTCTGATGCCAAGGTCTCCAGCCAGTCTGCTTGCATGAAGTGGAGGCGCAGAGGGCAGTGAGGTGGAAGCCCCACTTTGCATTTCTGCTCTCATCTGCACACTGGGCACAATTCTAGACTGCAAGGCAGCAGCACTTCGTTCCAAGGCAGCCCGACCCCTTTGGAGATGAGTGTGGGTAAACTGCTTTTCCCTTTTGATACTCCGTGTTCTTCTGTGTAAATTTACAATTGATTTTAGCATCTTGAGATTAACTGGATCTTAGTGAAAACACTGTTCCTGGTTTTCCTTGGACTGTGGGCAGCCCTACGGGAATTGTCTTCTGCAGGCTGAATGCCCAAAGCCCCGGCCTAAAGCCTTTCCCTGGAGATGGGTAAACCAGAACACAGCTTCCCTGCCAATGCCCTTCTGGGCCCTAAAAGATCCTGTCCACCTGCTGTCGAAACTTAAGCGACTTAGAAGCTACATCTTAAGAGTTCTTTCCATCCGTTAGTACTGCTGTTCAGATTCTGTAACAGAGCTTTTCTGAGGTGCCTGCTTCATCAAAAACAAACCATTTCTGCTGTCAGTTCTGAATGTTTGAACTGGAGGGTAAATACATGCAATCAGTGCAAACGAGTAGAGATGGCTGCAAGCTGCTCTTTTATTGCTGAGGTCCAAGTGAAAAACGGGTGGAAGGACCCAGAGATTATTCTGAAACTGCAAGTTGTCCAGGAGTGAGGCAGCTTCAGAAATGAGCACTGGATGGAAGAAAGAACATTGTTTTTGGATCAATCACTGTAGAACTTTGTGATGATTCAATGCCAGACAAGAAACCTCAGAATTCAATTTCTTACAACTGCCAGAAGTAGCAGCCAACAAATACCCTAAGTAGGACACTGTTTTCAGGACAGGCTAGCACAAGAAGGTCCAGGTGGAGGTGAGCAAGGAGTCGCTGAGCGGGCAGCTGAAGGCATGGCTGAGAGCCGGGCTGCTCAAGGCAAGTGCATGCATATCGCGATCAACTTCCTCTGCTTGCGCTGCAGGACTCAGGAATTTCCTCGTTATGTGAGATCGTGTAAAATCCGAGTTTCTGGATGTCTCACGGCTGCAAAATTCCAAGCTTTTGCAGCTCTCGGCAGCAGCCAAGGTTTCCACATACACCGTTTCATCTGGATCTTTCGCAGCTGGCTGACCACAAAGCCACCTTGCAGTCATGACCCAGAGCGCACTGTGCATCTGTGAAGTCTTGATCTTACAATCTGCCACGCTGTATCTCATCATCTGGTTTGGATGGTTTGCTAGGGCCAGGGGTGCCCTGCCTTTGAGCTACATTCCCAGCCTTCCTCATTCATTCATTTCTTCTGAGACAGGGTCTTTCCACATTGCTCAGGCTGGCTTCTAAACTGGAATTCTCCTGCCTCAGCCTTTGGAGTAGCTGGGATTACAAGCATGCTTACTGCACCCGGCGGCGGGTTCATCTGGGTTTCCTTCTACTGTCTCAATGGAGAAGTGTTACTGAGGTCACTCTTCTAATACCGTTTTGTTCTTCCAGTAGAGACAGGCTTTTCCTGGTTCAGGTGATCCCTGTTTGCAGCAAAAGCTGTGGTGAACCCAAGAACTGAGTTTAAGCAATGACACACCACAGCACGGAGTTCCACCCTGGGCTCTGCGTAATTACTTTTAAAATTACATCAAGACTTCTGTGTACATCAAACCAGGCCTCAGATTTAAATAACTAAAAATCTCATCGGATAAAACCTTGGCAAAAAGAGGAAATAGGTGCTCCTTTTAAAAAGTGATGTCTATTTATACGTCACCTCAATTTTTTATCCTTTTCAAACACAAATTTCTGGACTATTCTTAAAAGAACTGAGCGGTCTCATAGGCTTGACCCACCATATACCAAACAGGAATCCTGACCCCTCTGAGGGGACACTTTCCTCTTCTGTAGTGTGAATGCACGTCTCATACTTCATGTACCAAAATGCTTTACTCCAGTGCTCTTTAAAAAAACCTTAAGGATACACATAAACTGATGAAGGTATACTTTCACAGTGGAAAGAACTTACATTTGAAATGCTCACTACCATCCTAAACTCAACTGTACAAACTACTACAAGCCTAGCATGGGGCTGGGGAAGGTAGGGGCGGCTTCCATGTGAGAGGGAATGAAGTGCGCAGTGGAAGCTACAGTCATGTGGCTCCGACAGTGGGGACGCCACCTCCTGTGAGTGCCACCCTCTCCTCTTCAGGGCCACCCAAAAGTGATGTCTGTCTGTGGTATCACTCCACAAGGCCAGCTCTGCCTCTTGTCTTTCTTGGCCACCACCCGGATTACCTCCTCGGGGCCACGGGTTTTCAGGTATATATGGATATAAGCTTCCTCAGACCTGCTCTTCATTCTGGCTTTCTACATCTTGGGTACCATACAAGGAATACAAGCTGTGAAAAACCTGAGACTGTCATTTGTAGATGATTAACATGCAATGGAAGCCAGCCCAATACTCCGTACATACAGATATTGAACATTCTCCCTTCACCATACCCAACAAAAACATCGCCATCCTGCCTACAGACATATCTGTGAGGATGACCAGTTGCCCCTGAACTTCTTGTAATTTTTAATTTCTCAGTGGATCCTGATGGACGGATACCATCACAAGCCAAGTCCCGCCTCATAGCACTCACCCTGGGAATGGAGCAGCACTGCTGCACTCTTTCTACTCAGCACTCAGAGCTGCTCTCTCCTATAGCTGATTCAGACCCCTCTGGGGCTCCCACCCGCTCTCCTCTCCCTCATAGACCCTCAAATTTTGGAGTTTCAGAAATAATGGGATTCTTTCAAGTTCCTCTTGGGCCCGACTTCTGCACTCCCAACCAGCAACCCAAGAAGCCTAGAGCTTCCAAAGCCATCAGTGTGTTGTCTGGAGCGTTTTCCGAAATTAGATGGCCAACAGTGGTCTTCAGGGCTGCCTCTGAAAGCAGTGTCTGTCCCACCACCTTTTGGGCAGCAAAGAAATGCTCTACACATCTGTGCAGTCCCGGATGACAGCCATGCAAAACAGCTGGCTCCTCAACATCTGGAATGTACTTAGTGCGACTAGCAAGCTGGTCTGTATTGAATTTTAATTAAGTTTAAATAATGAAATTAATTAGTTAATTAAATAATTAAGTTTACAAGTACCCAGTAGCAACTAGACCGAACAGTGCAGCTCTAAAGGAATAAGGTTTTGAGTGATATGACAATTTTGGGATAGTATCACTTTATGAATTAAAGCGGTAATAAATATGTGGCAACAGCCTGCTGTTAACTTCTTTTACCCTTTCCAGCTCATCTTGAGTGAAAATACAAAATAAAAACAGCAACAATACAAAACCCACATTACTTTAACACCAATCTGCCTTGAATACAACTAGTAAATTTTAATGCATGGAAATGACATAACCAAGATAATAAACTAAAGGCAGTAAAACAAAGAATTAGAAAAATAAGCATACTAGAAGTTATTTATGTTTAATGCTTAAAAGTCTGAATGCACAAACAATCTACCATTATAGAAGTACTGGTGGTCAATACAATGCATTAGAACTATGTACAATGCACAGTTTAGTATCAAAATCTTTCTACACTGTAGAGTTTTACGAAACTGTTAATGACATCAAACACTAAGCACTTAAGACACCATTTTTTTCTGCTACCACATTAGGAACGTCAATGGACAGTCCATTTCAACTTGTGGCCTCCATCCATTTCTAGTATGAAATTAATTTTCTACGTATACAATAAAGTTTATCTACACGGTTCTTTTGATTTTGATCCATAGCAGCAAAGGCACTGTACATCAGCAGATCCACAGACTTAAAAGATTTTTTTTAAAGCATTCAAACAAAAAAATAATAATAAAAAAAGGAGTCACATATTATAGTTTAACAGCAACAACAACAACATAAAAGATAACACAATGTTTCTGGCACAATGGCACAGCCTGTGTCCACTTCAGGGACATCCAACTAAGACATGGAAAGAACCGGAGGTAAAGAAAGCAGTCCTCAGCCCAGGACCGAGTCCGTTCTTTTGTGTTTTCCGGAGGGAGGTCTCCGCAAACCCTCCTCCGCTGTCCTTGTTTTGTGAAAGACTTGACTCGCACAGCGGTAGGAGTCCTTCCTGTGTCTGTGCAGCTCCCGAAGAGCATGCCACAAAATAGCCTGTAATTTCTCAGAACAAAACTGCCCGAAGATACACAGCTCCCTTTACAAAGAAAGGTGGCAAAAACATCCAGGAGGGATTAAGTTCTCTCTTTGAGGCCCAATTTAACATGTTCATCTGTCTATAATACAATTTAAAAAAGGGAATTAAAAACATATTACAAAGACACTTGTCAACAAGTCAAAAAAAAGGAAAAAGAAAACGTCCAATTACTTGTATCGAATATCATCTAAAGCTATAGGTATGGTGATTAAAGTTGTCCAAACAGACTCAAATGAATATGACTTGGCCTATCATGTTCTAATTGTTCAGCCAGATTTCCAAGGATCTTTAAAATAAGTAGAAAACAGAAACAAAAAAACCTAATAACACGGCAACATATTGCTTCCATGTGTAATTATACATTTCACATCTCTATACAGTCAATAGTCTACATTTAGTGACATTTTTAATCAATTATTTTAAACCCTCTTTTCCCCTCCTTCACCAAAAAAAGGAGGGGAGGTGTATCAAATACAATGCACCTTCGTTATCAATGCAGGAGCAGACAGCTTTATTTAGTCAGTCATTGTTAGAAAGCCTTCTTTAAACAAAATAAATATATTACAAATATAATACATAATTAAAGATTCCGTTCACTGTTAAGTATGCTTATTCCATGTTCTTCCAAATAGACAGCTGAAGATTTGGTATCACAGGTTCTTAAAGAGTATTCACAATTCAATAGCAAGGAGGAAGTGGGGTTAAGGAAGGGAATTAAACTCCACAACTGCAATGAGCATTTGAAATCCTTAGTTTTAGATGCAAGGGTAGGGAGTGATCAAAAAACCCAAAAGATGAGAGCGCAAAGTGCTACAAGGAGAAGGAGTCCAGTTTGCATGAAGATTTGTTCTTAATAAATAACTTCATAAACCGTGGCCTTCTTATCTCCAGAGCCAGTGACAATGTATTTATCATCCACAGAGATGTCACAGCTAAGCACCGATGAGGATTCTTTGGACTAGGAAAGAAACATATAATAAAAAATGTTAAATACTGGAGGAAAATCCTAGAGAACTGAGAGGCAGGCCTGCAGAACTTGGAGCAGATGAAAAGGTAACGTGCTCCACAGAGCCATCGGGAGCCTTACTGGGGAGAGCAGGCACGGGCTTCCTAAGGGTGGAAGCGCTGGAGCCAGGCCTGGGGAAGTGGGCAGTAGGGACACTCGCCAGGCTGCCCGACAAGCCAGCAGTAGGAGCACGCACATCGATGAATGTCACACCCCTTCTGAGTTCTATGCTCCAGACCGTGAAGTCAGGAATTATGTCTGGATGCAGGTGGAGCTTCCGATCAGGAGACTCATCCCTCACCCTGTCTGAGCATCAGGCTCCTTTAAGGGCAAAGACATCAGACATTTCCCTGTCCAGCCACCTCAGAGTTCGCTGAAGTAATACATGGGAAACAACACTGAAAATACTGTATTTTTTGGGATAAAGTAGAAATACCAGCAAAAAGCCTAATGTTCTCAGAGTAAAAATATAATACAAACTTCTACGAGAGAGCTTCAATAGTTGGAAAGAGAAATGTACCATACCCAAATGCTTTGTATCCAGTGGATATGCTACAAAAGGTTCAATGTTAACTTTTAACGGCACTGTGTTCATTAGAGAACAAACAAAAATCGCAGGATTTTAACCAGGACTCGAAGACTGTCTGACCACAGCATGTTTCTCAGGCTTTTTTTTTTCATTCCCACTGATAATAACCACTATGAGAGTTCAAAATCCAGTACAGATAGATGTAGTCTTTATACCTAGTACTATAAAAGAGGTACTACATTATTGTTATTTCATTTGTTTGAAGAAGTGATTGCTGGAACCATCTAAAAGGTTGTGGTCCACAATATGAAAAGGCCCGTGGTAAAGTATGTGCTTCATGAGAGTGACGATCAGCTATTTTTGTATTACCAACTATATTGCACGGTATTTTCATGCAACACATTTTGGATTCAACTGAACAAATTTACTCTGATGACTTAACAGCCCTTGTTCAAGCAACCATAAATCTGTCATATTATTTTTTAGAAAAAGAACATTAGATAATAGCATCCTAAATATAGAAGATCGAAAGAATGAAGTCCTTAAACCTGCCCATGAAATTCTCACCAGTAAAAGATACTGTGTGCGGGCCAGCATGTGAACATACATCTTGTCTATAATTTGATCTTTTTACAAATAATTTCAAAAAGAGCACAAAGTTCCACTAAGGCAATAAGAAAAATAAAATCAATCAAGATTTAGTGAATTTTTCTCTAATTCTCCTTTGGGAAAAAAAGAACTTATAATACTAATGAGACTAAGGAAAATACTCAAGTTTCAAAATAAAAAATTTAAAAAGACACACACACACACTCAGGAAAATTTCACAGAGGACCAAAAACTCCCTCCCTGACAAGGAAAAGGGAACAAAGGCATGTAGAGTGCAGAACCAGTGCACCAGGGTTGCCCTGGTTGCTCTGGCGGGTCCTGAGAGGGTCCCCAGTGCCAGGCCTCGAGACTGGGTGCACTGTCACTCAGACACCCCCTCCCAGGCACAGTGGGTACAAGACAGTCAAACTTCCGGGGCCTGAGGTGCATGACGCCCCTGAGAGGAGACGAGAGTGTGGCTAAGGTAAAACTGTGAGCATACAGCATCAGCTCCATAAACAAGTCACTCGGCTCGAGGTTACCTGGAAAATGCTGGCCCCGTAAGGTGTCCTCCAGGCATTCAGAAGGTTGTCCTTTCCAGTGCTCACAAACCATTTGCCTGCAGGGAGAGGGTTTCAAACAAGGCAATGTAAGCGTTACCCTGCCAGGTACGGAAATTTGCCTCACAGAGAACCGGCTCCTCACACACAACCAATAGGGCTTCTGCTCACGTCTGTCTCCCCTCCTGGAGTTAATGAATCATTTACACTTAAGATATGAAAGAAATAAATTAATACTAGAAAGCCAGCCTATGGTACCAGGGAGGCAGGCATCAATGTGCACTCCTGTTACTGAAACTCTGAAGCGGGCCATGCGAATGCACAAAAGGGCCTGGCTTGGACTCCGTCAAGACAGCGAACAGTTCCGGGTGACAGTAAATGAACAAAGGAGCTTGCTTACCACAGTGGGCAAACTTGAGGGACAGCACACAGCTCTCGTGTAGATGCAACTGGTATTTGTCTGGCTTGGTGACATGCAACACTTCCACGTTACTGTTCTCCATCCCCACCGCCAGCCACTCTCCGGTTGGACAGTAGCCCAGAGAAAAGATCTAGAATTAAAACAGGAGATTGCAGCTATTGAGGACAGGCGCTTTTTTTTAAACAAGGAGGTACTGTCTCTTTTGGGGATGCGATATAAATCAGTAAGGAAACAAAGATAATCTGAATTGTGGAGGAAGAAACCAAAGTTAAGTGGACGAATCCAAACTAACCCACAGCTGAAGGTGCCCTCCCCCTTCCTTTGGAGTTCTGCTCCACGAAGCCACAGCCTCGAGAACGCCACGGCCCATCACCGCACCTGCGAGGTGAAGTCGTGCTGCTGCAGCTGCCGCCCCTCGCGCAGGTCCCAGGACCTGACGGTGTTGTCCAAGCCGCCCGTCCAGAGCTTGGTGCCGTCGTTAGAAATGTCAATACAGCTGGCTCCATCTGTGTGGCCCTGGAATTGCCTGAAAATGTCAAAATGGAGAGAATGCCCTCAAAAATTTGGCATTCCTTAGCAGTCGATTTTAAAGCAGGCCTCCTTATCTGTAGATTCTGTTTTGTGTGTTTTCTAATTATTCAAAGTAATAACAAAACATATGCAGGCAGCTTTCTGCATCCGTGAGGTCCAATCTGCAGATTCAACTAACCGTGGACAGAAAATACTTAGAAAAAGTTGTCTGTACCCAATATGCAGACTTTTTCCTTGACATCATTTCCTAAACAACAGAGAAGAACTGCTTACATACCGTTTACGTTGTGCCGGGTATTATAAGTGACCTACAGGTGACTGAAAGTACGCAGGAGGGAGTGGGCAGACATGTGTATGTGTAGACACCATGCCATTTTACAAAGGGCAATGAAATATTCCTCGATTCTGCTCTCCTTGGGGCACTCCAAACCCTATCTCCCACACACACAAGGGATGAAGTTGTGTGGAATTGAAGTTTAATCCACATGATGAACTTCCTGTGCTTTTTATTTTTAAATACTTACAAAGCTCTTCAAATCATTTACACCAAAATACGATTGTGAGTGCTGATGCATTAAAAAAAACAACTAAAATTAACAAAAGAAAACACGTATCTATATGCACATGACCGCATCAGAGATAGCTTGGAGACCTGTTCTGTCACCGTCATGTGGAAGAGGCTGTGAAAGTTATTTTTCCTTCTGTAGAGGAGTGGAGATAGCACAGGGGATAGGAGAAGACGGCTGCCAGATAACAGCAATCTCTGGAGAGCAGATAGGGACAGAAAGGCCAAGCTCTCCAGAAGCGCATGGAAGGCTCCTGGTGGACTCACGGCCTAGATGCATGCCTGGTGAATGTAAAAAGCACACTGGGAAAGAAGTTCGAAGTTCCACATATGAGCCTAACCCCAGAGCAACAAGCCTAACAACTGTTTCAGTTTTGAACTGCATATAGAGTTCAGCCCTTCAAAATTAAGAGACAGAGTAAAGGCCATTTCTCTTTACAGACACACAGTGCCTTGTACCTAGGGCTGACCACACCTTCTCACACTCTTTACCTGGTATCACCTTGCACCTGTGATATGTTAGGTGCAGACAGCTAGAGAATCATTTCAAAATAAGTAAGAGTAAGCCTATACAATCTCATTTCCTAATAAACTCCGGTGTTGGGGCTGTCTGTCCTGAAATACTGGGATACAGATAATCCAAAGCATTCTGGGGTGAGTGTTCTATTTGGATACACACGCATAAGCCACACAAAGAGCACTTCAGCGCAATGGGGGAACATCATTTCCCCCTCTAAGTAGATCCTGCTGACCTACCTCACCAGCGTCTGGTTGTGCAGGTCCCACACGGCGATGTTGCCGTCACTGCAGCAGGAGAAGCAGACCTTGGAGTCAGGGCTGATGGCCAGGGCGTAGCAGGCGGGGGCCGAGGACGTCAGCTCTGCTTTGATGCGCGGGGTCGGAGCCGCCAGGTCCCAGATGGACAGAGTACTGGCTTCCCCTCCAACAATTAGGGTGCGACCATCAGGGAGCAATCTACAGGAACGGATGTAGTTATCCCTGTTCTGCGGAGACAAAACCCATCAAAGGATTACTCATGAGGAAAGGAAAACAGCGTTAACACGAGAGGAGAAATCCATAAAAGTATTGTGTTCCCTCCTGGTTTAATGAGCCATTTATACTTATGACAATGATAAAGTAGATTAATGCTAGAAAATTACATGAAATTAAGGAAGTACTTAAACTTGATCTACAAAATTTAGTACTGAGATATTTAATCTTAATTAGCATCACAATGTACAGACCTAGATCGAATATGCGTGTCACACAGATGTTCACGCACACTCACGCTGCTCTCCCAGCCCTACTGTGCCCAGGCCTGGAGCCCCTCACACGTCGCTGCGGCTGCAGACCCTACTACTGCAGGTAAGACGCCCGAACTCCGCTCCTTCCACCTGGCCCCAGGATGTATGACAATAGGGCACCATGTGTTGGATGACGTAGGATCCAGGGGAGGAGAGACTTGATTAAGGAGCCCTAAGGAACAGGAGGAAGAATTCTCCCCAGTTCATGAGAGTATAGGACTCTAACGTACATATAATGATGTTAAACTGACCTAGCCTCCTGATGCACCAACAAGTTCTACTGACAGAAGGCAAAAAAATCAGGCTCAAGTGTCCTATGCAACCCAAGAGCAAATGCCAGTATAATGGCTAAGAGCGTTTCTAGCGTGTGCCACATGCAGCAGTAATTACTCTTTATAGGTGGAGATTTTTAGGTCCCATTCATAGAAACCAGGTGTAAACACTTTTAAGGGTTTATTTAACCCCTTCATCAGACAGTTCAGTGAGTGATTTGCCTTTCTCAGGATTGGAAAACCGTATTGAAGATTGCGCACACATACGCAGCTGGAGCTCTGCCTTGGGAAGCCAAAGAAGACACCCCTCTGAGGGGCCAGCATGCCACTGGGACCAGGGCCAAGCGGTGCTGCTTGAACACCTCCCCCAGCACCTCTGCTGTTTTCTGAGTCAGGGTCTAAGTCCTGTGCACGCCTGCTCACTCACCAGACAGTCCAGCTGGGAGACAGGACTCTTGTTGCCAGGGTGGCTGATGTCCCACACCTTGACGCAGCCCTTGCCGCCCGTGTACACGTGTCTTGTGGGGTTGCTGATGGTGACCGCGCACACCACCTCCCCGTGGTTGAGCGTGTTGATCTGGCGAGCGTGGCGGGGGATTCCAGGTCCAATGAGGGCGTCAGGGGGGAAGGGGACCGGCTGCATCTGACCGTCCGCACTAACGTGGAAGGAGTAGGCTCTAAGAGAAGACGGGAAGAGAGGAATGTACAAAAGATGGTATTAAGCTCTTCAGTGTAACAAGGAAAAAGACTTTTGTGTGTATATTTGAGATATGCAAGCTAGCCAAATTTACCTAAAACACTGGAAATAATACAAGTTTCAGTGACACCACTAAACTCACCATCAAATCTCAGGTTGTTACTGGCTGTTGGGTATCAGTAGTTACTAAACCTTTCTGAATCTAACTTCTGAGCTCTACAAGGAAGACGATGTACATACCTCTCAGAGAACTAAATAAGATGACGAATGTCAAGTATGACACCTAATCTTTCAGGGAACGCTATAAACTTGCACTGCCTTCTACTTTACAGTGATTCTCAGGCCTGTGATCAGATTTTGCCTAATGATCAATTTACTCCAATCAAGCAACTTAACTAATGGAAATCAGGAAGCTACAACTGTGAAGCTCTCGGGACCTAAGAATCTCCAGGCATAGATGATGAGATGGCAGATGTGTTAAAAAATTAAAAGTCCCATCTCAACACTCCGCTCAGACTTGATAATCACAAATTCTAGTAAATCTGAGTGGCAAGGGGACACGAAAAAGCATCCCACGTGACAGCCCCAGGGCCAACAGCGCGCACCCACCAGCGAGCACCCACCGGCAGTAATGTCTCCAGTTCGTAGCCAAGACAAGCCCGAAAATGTAAAAGTACCCGGTTCTCAGGTGCGACTGAAGTTGGGAGGGGACAGTGAAGCAGCTGGGCTGCAGGCTGGACCATGTGCAGGAAACCCCAGCGGCAGGAGGGGCTGGCTCTATGTGGGGGCTACAAGGGCCATTTGGGAAATTATGTCCTGCTACTTTGGTATGGAGTTCAGGCACATGTGCTGATGGGAAGAAGTTTGCAAAAAATGTGCCAAAGGGCAACTATGGGTGCACCAAGGATGGGAACTTGAACTGAGCCAAAGGGAAGTTTAGAATCAAACTGAAGCTCTATGGTGTGTTAACATGAAAATCCACAGGCCTGTCACATTTATCAAAATTGAGCCAATCACTGAGCAGCCTTCATCAACCATCTGAATGCTCCCAAAAATCGACCCAGAGCACGCTGCGGCGGTGCAAGATACGGAGGCCTGCCTTTACTTTCTCAAAGACCACAGAGAGCTGCAGGAGAAAGCAGCACACAGACTTTTTGCAGGGGAAGGAGGTGGGAGCCACGAGGCAATGGGTGGAAGCCATTCCTTGAGTCAAATCAACAGGACTTGGAGACACTAAAGCAGACAGTTAGCAGAACTCCAAAGCTTAGGACTCATGGACAGGGGAGACTGCAAAAGCTAGTGACTGTGACAGGGAAGCCTAACTCAGTGGTACACATATGGGGATTGGTTTTATTGAATGTGAGGGCCAATAAAAACTCAAACACCTTCGATTAAGGAATGAGGCTGGACTGGAAAAATGTACAGTCCACCACAAATAAGAGATGGCTGAAGCTCTGAAGGAAGAAAAAATAATCCCAGAGCACCTTATGTGGTGAAAAGCAGCTCAGCTGCCCAGTCTAACTGAAGGCTGAGTTAACGAATCCCCAGCAAGAACAGTCAGAGAGGCAGATCTGTTACTAACAGAGACCATAAGCGGAAAGGAGAAGATAGCCAATCACATGAAAATGTACAGGCAGGTTCATCCACTTAACACGTTTCTTGGGTACCCTTGTGTACCAAGCTCTATGCTCAGGATGGAGTGAGAAAGAAGCCCACACATTCCGTTCTCCCGAGCAGCTGGTGGGGCTGAGGAGAGAGTACACTCTTCAGCGAGATGCTCACACGAGTAACTATAAAAAGACCAGAGGTCAGCACTGGGGACATCAGAAGCTCCACGGTTCTGTGGGAATCTCAAGACAGGATGTGAGAAGGAATATGGGAAAAATGCAGGCAGAGGGAGAGAACAAGCTCATTCAGCTCACATCATTAACAGCCTCATGTGTTTTAGACACTTTTAGGCAGGAGGGAATCAGAGGAGAAAAAGCCCATTTTCACACGAGCTTACATCTTCGAGAGGAAAGGGTATGAAGTGCCAGGTAGAAGGAACAGTCACATAAATGCCTTGAAGCCGAGAGCATTGAATGGAGTGACGGGACATGGGCTTGAAGACAGGGGAAGGGCCTTGCAAGCTGCGATGCGAAGTCTGGATATTACTGTGATTAGAAGGCAAGCCGCTGGAAACATGTGACACAGTTCAGTTAAGATACTGAATGACCACTGTGGTTGCTGGATGATGAATGGGCTGTAGGCGGCTGGATCAAAAAGGGTAACTAGCCTGGGCCACTGCAGGAGACAGACCACGGCATAGGGACTTGAAGTCAGGAAGCTAGAGACACAGTCCTAGCTGGGTGCAATGCTTGGATTTTGGAGGTGCCAGAGGTGAGGACCAACTCTTATGAGCCTGAAAATGCAGGTAGCTGAAGGTGAATAGGGCAGATATTCACTAGAGATGAGGTAGCCCAAAAATCAAAGTGAAGTTATTGTGGGACTGTCCATGCAGAATCCAGAGTCGTGGCTGGCACTGGGTAGGGAACGACTACACCTTGTGCTAAGTCTTTAACAAACTGGGGGAAAACCTAAGCAAGGCAGATGGGGCATAGAGTCAACTGGCACAGGTCTGAAAAGAAGCAAGGTGTTTTACGAAGGGCAGAGAAGCTCAGTTCTGGTGGAGTCTGAGGAAGAGGGAGCAGGGGAACCAGTGCCCCTATGCATTGTGGGATATGAGCACACTGCGAGCCCCTCCCCCTCAGCCCCCCATGGCATAAAAAGGGGTGACCTCCAGAGCGAGTCAGGCTTCAGTTCAGGCAATATGTTCCTGAAGAAAAGCTGAGATTCTGAGGGATGATGACCAAGAAAAAGGCTAACTGATTTAGCAATTCAGAGTTCATCAAGACTAAATCTTCAAGGAAGGGAGAGGAAGGTTATTCCAAGTTCAGATGTTGTTATACATTCTTAATGGTAATTTCTTTGAAAAGACATCCCTTTCTCCTCTCTAGAATCTCAAATGGTTTTTAAAGGTACTTGGGAATTTAAATAGTTAAGAAACCAGACACACAGTTTCAGCAAGGTTCTCGACAGAATACTCTTCAACTTAACCACTCTGTGAGCACCTCCTGTGTTCCTAGAATTTCCTTTTAGAGGATCCAAATGAATCTCAAGAGTCCAACTGTATCTAGGACTCAGTGCAGCTTTCTGTCCACTATTAGTGAACATGCAGTATTCAGGGCTGAAAAACCAAAGCTCTAGTCCACACTTAGCATATCTAAACCAGCTCTTCGATGTGTAACTAGCAAAAAGTACTGGAGTATGTAAAGAAAATCCAAATTTCTAGGAGTCACAGAATCTCAAGCTCAGGGGGCTAGTCTCTTCCGATCAAAGCGGATGCCTCAACACTCTGCGTAGTAAAGACAACCTACCCATGAGCTGAGAGACAAACAATATGCTAAGGAGAAAGCATTAGGGAAGGAAGCCTTGTCCATAAATGGCTTATCATGTAGGAATGCTGATGAGGAAATCACTGAAGTAGCTACAACACCAGGTCACACTCCGATAGGAAGCAGGATTTGGAAGTGGTTTGAAAAGAAAGATAAAAGTGCTGTTTTATGAGAGACATGGTACTGGTCGTGGGTTTTAAAGAAAGGACAGAGTGCACCAAGGAGGGAGGAAGATAGGGAAAGTATTTCAGTAGGCAGGAGCAGCAGAGAAGACACCAAGAACTCCAAAGCAGGAGGTGAAATGCTCTGAGGAACCCCTTGATTGCTTTCAAATTCATTTATTCAGAAGTGACCCCTGAGTAAGTGCGTGGGGGAGATGGTCAGAACAGTGTGACAAAATATGGCAGCTACACAGCCACAAAAGGAAAAATGTGCAGTACTAGCCTCAGAACTTCAAAGATGGCACCAGAGTTTTGGGGTGAACAGAAGGTATGAAATTACTGGGGGAAAACCACTAACAACATAAACTTAGTTGCAAGGAACAGGGTGTCACTACAATTTGGATCTAAATATCTTCCAAAGGCTGAGGCCAGGGATGACGCACCTTTTAGAGATGAGTGCCAAACTGCAACCCAAACCCACTGACTTACTGCAAAGTGACAACCTGCAATTAAACCTGAGACTGAGCTTTTAGCAAAAAACAATTCTACATTAACACCCTCTGTTTTAAAAGAAAAACAACACCTGTGCCGTAGGTTCGCCACCGCTGGCCTAGATGACGGCTTCCTGATAATGGAGGTGGTGAAGCCTTTGGGCAGGCAGGGGCTGGAGATGAGGGTCGGTGGGTGGACGTGCACCATTGGGACGCCCACCTGCCTACCCTTCCCTCCACGTTGTGCAGGCTTATCTCTTGGCTGCAGTGAGACAGGCAATTTCCTTTGCCATACCGCCCCCCATGATGTACTCCCTTGCCTCGGTCCGGACAGCAAGGCAGCCACCTGACCTTAGCTGCAATCTGACCCACAGCAGAACCTTCCCTCCCTGTACAATGATTATTGCAGGTATCCTGTCAGCGACAGAAAGCCAACCCAGGTGAATAGGAGGAATAGAAGCAACTACCCTCTAACCCAGGGGACAGTACTCAGGCACCTGAAGCAGCAAGGCCAAGGATGGGAAGACGGAGGTAACAACGGATGGACAGTTCTGTAGGACTTGACGAATGAGACGTGATAAGGGAGCCGACAATGACGGAGTTTCTGAGACTCAGGAAATTAGAAACTGGATACTGGTAGCTATGAAAAAATAGGGAAATAGGGAGGAAGTACTAATACGTGACAGTGCTTTCTGAATATAATGAATTTGAGGATAAGTAATACACAAGATGCTTAGTTAAGACATTCAACAAATAACTAGAAATGTTAAGACTAGAGAGGAAAAGGGTGCAGGAAATGGGACAAATAGTGACCCAAATTCCCACAAGCACATTGCACATGTGCGTCTGCACGCACATGCACGCGCACACACACACACACACACACACACACACAGACGCAGACACACGCAGACCAGCAAAAGCTCAGGAGTAAAGAGCAGTCTTCCAATAGACCTGGTGAAGCAAAGAGAAGACAACTGAGAAAACTGTTATGTCTGGAGCTGAGGATAGGACTGTATCTCAAACTTTCAGTGAGGTCCAGTATGTGTGTGCAAGTCAGTATTTTATCTGAGCACCATCTTTGATGAAGAACAAGCATATTTAAAAGAAGTTCTTGGCCTTCCTACCTCAACCTCTAAGAAGTCTGGTTCTTTTTTTGTTTGTTTGTTTGTTTTCCGGTACCAGGAATTGAACTCATGACCCTGCGCTTGCCAGGCAGGTGCTGTGCCGCTGAGCTAAATCCCCAGCCAAAGCCTGGTTCTGTTATGCTGTGTTCTTCCCTCTCAGATATCTTCAAATTTCCAACACCTCACAAGATAGTTCTCAAGGCTGGCTTCAAAATTAAAGGTCTGACTGCTACCCTTCATGAAGTACGATAGAAAATTAGCATATAAACCCACCAATGGGTCAGCTGGCAATATACACTTGATAGTTTTTACTGTGCATCAGGTATTTTTCCCATTTTGAAAGTGTTACTGTATATAAACAAATTCTCCTTCAGAGAAAGATTTCTTAATTGTGAGCAGCCTGAAGCGCATAAACTGAGATCTTTTGTTTTTGCTGCATTTAAACACCAGATCTCACAATGTTACTAGTAATTGGCTTTAATCAAATGATTATACACTACTTACAAAAGTCTCACATAAGCAGCAGATGAAGGCGAAAGTCCATTTTTGGTTTATGAAATTAAACTCTGTAGTCATTACAGCCACCATGATAGGCAAGAAAACTCAATATGAATTATCAAATAAATGCTACTCTGTTCATTAGCTTCACATATGCATTTTTAATTACAATTCTGCTAATACGTAGCAATTAATTTTATAAAAATCACTGAGATGGAGATGTACAACTGTTTTCTTTCTGGAGAAAGGCAATTACTTTGTGAGAGGGCATGTGGCAGGCAGGCCTTTGGTGATTTAGTATTTTATATTGTAGAATCTACAGGAAACAAAGACCAAGTTTCACAAATTCTACATCTTACGATATAGAATGCCACCCAATCATTATGCTCCCTTCTGCTGTAAAAATCTGTAATAAAAGCAGGTCATCTCTATAGGCATAAATGAACAGGAATTTGATCTTGATACCCCTTTACATAAAAAAATACCAAGGACAGAAATTATGGAATCCAACTATTCAATCCAAATTTGTTATTTCCGCTCCCGAACACATAGTGCATGCTCTACGGCCCTAGAACTTGGACCCTGCTGCCACAGCTGAGTGGGAAATGGTGCTGGGATAAGTAAACAGCCACCACACCATCAAACACCGCGCTCAGTCAGCAGCATGTCACCAAGATGTTCATCCTCACATCCTTCTTGCTAACATGCCGAATAACGCTGACAAAGTTAAGAAACCCTGGGTAAAGCCACTCTTCCTATTGGTCAAGTGGCAAAATCAAAATTCAAACTTGAGTCTGTCAAACTCCTAAATCTATAACAGAAACCTTCCCCACACACACCGCTATACTTCAGTTTCTTGGTTGCCCAGGTTTCCTGTCCCAGGTGTTCCTGTCTCTTAGAAATGGCTGGTCACTATGATGCACATTATTTAAACCAATCCCCAACTGACAAGCGATTCTGCCTCCGTACTTCTTGTTTGCTTATCTCGTGTAAGCCCTGGACCACCAGAGATCAGGGCTCGACATTCTAGGAATGATCCCCATCACTGCCCGTTGACGTAAATAAATCTGCCTCCAAATCCTGGTGTCCTTTTGGTGTTTCTGCCTGCCGTTACAGATCCACATGGGTCAACATTATTAACCACGTTACATTCTTTTCCTGTTTTTTTTTTTTGTAAAGAGTCATTTGCCAAATGCATTAGGTGCTGACTCCATCACTCCTAGGAACATTTCTTAAAAACCCTTCCAATTCATTGATCTTTCCCCAAAAGATGGTAAAAATTTTATACACCCTGAGTCAAACTAGAGTAAGGAAGGGCAGCTTAGTTCAAGACTCAGTAGCACCATAAGGGAGACGTGATTCCAGTCTCTCAACAGGCCACACCCCAAACAATACTGTTGTTGTTTATTTAGATGCATGCAACCTGCTTTACCCTTTGGAACCTTAGGCAAAGCTGAAGAAGCTCCTCTGTCCACGGCAGTAGATATACTGCAGCTCTGGGTGCAACTGCTGGTACCCTAAGTAGTGACTATGCAGCACCTAGAAAAAGGACTGTACTCTCACCCTAAAGGAGCCCCTCCATCTCCGTCACAAATGATACCAGTTTGAATGGAACTTGTAGGCATCTGAGTTGTTATTTGCTTAATCCTTTGACCTTGTTATTTAGGCACTGCTTGAAAGAGAACAAACTTTCACCTTCAAATACATCAGAGTTTTTGGTCAACAAGATTTGTCGGTCTGTCAACAAATACTTGCAGAAAACATAGGTACACAGAGTTTTATGATAATTGATGTTTATGTCTTCTATTCTCAAGGAACTCAAAAGTCTCATTTGCCTTGTTTCCCTTATTAATCAGTCAAATATTTACTGAGCAACTCAGTTATGGGGCTGATGCAGTCAGAAGATTAGGCAGAGTCTGCAGTGTAGTCAGTTATAGGTGGAACAGCCAAGATTCTTACTCGTCAGATGGCAAGGAAAGGCGGCTCAAAGGAGGCACATTTAACACTGAGAGAGCAGGCAAGCTGGAGAGCACAGGACACAGGAAACACGCGGGTGACAACTGAGTAAAGAAATAAGCACAGGGAAGGTAGACAGGAAAGGATTAGCGCATACTCACTTCCTCACACTAGACCATGAGCACTATGAAGTAGGTGTCACTTAAGGCACTGAAGTTACTTCTACAACTCAACATCAAGAGGTTCTGCCCTGGGAAGAACTAACACTACAAACAAACATAAGAAAGATAAGGGACTAACTAGAGAGGAACAGTAGGAAAGCAAGGAAGGGAGGCATTCTGAAAGAAGTACCAGGACAAGTGCTTCAATGTCACTGACAGATCTGAAGGCAGACAGTGAGCCACAGGCAACCTGCTGCAGGAGGCTGACCACAACTGCAAATGCCCAAGCCAGGCAAGCCTGGAGGGAAGGGGACTTGAGCCGCTACGCAGGGTCAGGTGTTTCCTGAAAGAGGCACGGAAAACCCAATGGGCATTTTAAAGGCAGAACCAACACCACTTTACAGTAAAGTCCTGTGTCCAGGAAGAAGATGCTGATTATAGAGAATTGGTAGTAATAAAAAGATACGCATTACAGTGAAATGAAGAACATGGACTGAGAGATAGTGAGAGGTCAGAACATGCAATAGAGGGCTGGAAGAGCTTTGTGTCCCCTGACTCAGGGAGTCTGTGAACCCAGAGTCCAAGGGCCCAGTCAGTGAGAGAAGGTAGCTGAGCAAGTCACGCTTTCCAGAAGCAGAACTGAGCACGGGACTGCCCTCTTTTCTTTTCCACCTTTGAGGTTTGGCCCATCTCTTTCCTACATGTTTGTATTTTGAGCGTCCAGGTTTGCACATAACCATCAGATTTTGTGAGCAAAGAACTGCCTGAAAATCAGTGGCAGACAGGGAGAAGGCCTGTCTTTTGGGGCTGCCTCTGCAATTTGCATTTCCATGTTAAAGCTTGAGATTTTTAAACTGAACATACAAATACTTCACCTTATTATCTCTTTTCCTGTGCTAAGAGAAAATGAAAACTATTCTGCAAGATGTAAACTATTCATAACCCCAGCAAACGCTATCAGTGTTCAAAGTCGAAAGGGCTAACAAGGGGCCTGGGCTCAACACACAGTGAGCAGAAAAGGCACAGGGTACTCACGGCTTTCCTCCCGGGATGCCTGTTAGGTTTGGAGGTATCGCTGGCACACGCATGTGATGGTGCGGATCGAACCCCACCTGGAATTTCCCCACACAAAACGATAAATCAGTGTCATGCTATTTTACTCTAGTCATCTTTCTTAAAACCTGCAGAAACAGATCCTTTGAAAATAAAAATTCTGGAGATATAAACACAAGTATTCACTGATAAAATGATAGCATCTGTAGGACTGAATGGTCACACACTCAGGGTGGAACACAAGGAACAAAATCACAAAAGCTCATGACAGAAATGAAAGGTTAACTGATTATTTTATCTAATTCTGTAGATTTAAAATTTCCAAAATAATGCCAATTTGAGAAAGATTAAAAAAGGAACTTTCGTGTTTTCCAAAATAAAGCAGATCTCAAGTTATCACATCTCCAAATGCATTCAGATCCCTCCAGGAAAATTCATTACTGTAAAAACTACATTCCATGATGGATGACAATCCTCTGAGCTCTAAAGTATCATTTCGTAAGAACATACCACGGGTGATCTTCCATAGGCGGCAGCGGCAGCGGCAGCGGCAGCAGCCGCGCTCATCTGCGGGGAGATGTTGTGCAGGCCGGCGTAGGCGGCTCCAGGGCTCGTCAGCTCCCCGTTCATCCCGGCATGGGGCACAATTCCGAACGGGGTTGGATATGGACAAGGGACAGCCATTGGGGTCCGCAGGCTGGATGCTGCAGACCAAGACAGTATGAGGGGAGGGAAAAACCACGAACACATGAAGCAACATCGAAGACATGCTCAAAATATGTTAGTAAGGACAGTCCATGGTTCAAATGAACTTAGTTGAATATTCTCGAAAGTCATCGAAGCCTAGCACGTGCCAGACATGCTAACTGCCAGGCTGCTTGTTTGGGATGAATGATACAGCCACTAACAGCCACTTGATGCCAGCCATTAGTACTTTTAATGCACTGTACTATTCAAGTCACTTTAAATTCAACAGAAGCATACAGGTAATACAGAAGGAAACTTTTGTCCTTACTAACCCAAGGGGTCCACTCCTGGTGGTTTTCCAGACACAGGCCTCAGTCCAGGAGTGGAGTTACTGCCTGGGGTGGGTGCATCAGTTCGTGGAGTAGGGGTATTGGACTTTGACACAGGAGTAGTAGATTTTTCATTCTAACAAGAGATAACGAAATGTACCAGTCATGAGAACATGGTTTTAACAATGAGGTTAGCATTTAAAAGGTAAAAGAAACAAAAAGGAAAAGAATAAAAGGAAAGGAAGAAGAAAAACGGAAGAGACTGTTCAGCTAGGGCCTTTTTCTTGCATTAATTAAAAAGAGCTAGTAAGAAAACAAAAAGAACCAAAGTTCATGAACATATGAGTTGAAACTGACTTTACAGAGTAGATAATTTCCAGGAAACTGGGCTCAGAGGCTAAAGAAAGCTGACAAGCCATGGAGTCCTAGCTGGTATCCGGCTTCAGACCCTGTGGTTTAATTTGGGTTCCCAGTGGACTGTTCATGCCACAAGTGGTCTCCTGTTTGACAGGTCCCATTAGAAAAGACCCAAGCTTCAATCTTCACAGAAACTCAGCAAGAGGAGGTCACCCACACACGTACAGGCCAAAAGAAAACATGACACCCCCCCCCCACCGCTTTATCCAGCCTTCTGCTAGATATTTAGTTATCTCCCTAACTTGCACACAGTTGCACACTTTCCTTTCTTTTCGGTGTGACTTTACAAACTATCTGAAAGCTGAATTCAGCTCTTTAAAAAAAAAGTTACACTATAAGGAAATAACTGGTGAGAAGAAAAGAAGATACCACAAAAGAACACAATTAAAATAACCACACAAACATGGAGGTGCAGGGAGATTATCTTGACTTGTGAGCAGCTCACTTTTACATCTGGGATTTGTGGTGTGAGTTGAAGTAGACTACTGTAAATGACATTACTTTTCAGACAGGAAGGGGAAATTACTGCAGTCATAGCTTGGTGACTCAAAGCTAGCAACAAAATGATATCAAAGACCCAAGCCAAGTTTATCATAAACCACAGGCGATAAACCCGTCCCTGTAAGCCCAGCATGCATTTTTTATCTTTATTAAGGCATGTTTCACTCAGCTTCTTCACATCCCTCTCCCTACACTTACAGAAGACTCGAAAGACAAACACCTGTTGTTAGCAAGCCCAGTTCTGGCCCCAAAATACTTCAGTCAATTAAACTTAAGACACTGAACATATATGTGCATTTGGAAATCAAAGCCCTATAGAAAAATGTATAGAATACACACACACAAAATTAAAGTTAGACCCAAGTATCTTGCAATTGGCAGGCCTATGAGTGGTGGGGCAGAGCTGCTTACAAGGCTAAGTTCTTTGGATTTGGAGGAAGGAGTACTGCTGGAAGATGCGATGGAGGCGGGGCTGATCGGAGCGTCTTTCTTGAGCAGGCGCGTCTTGTCCAGGCCGTTCTCTCGAGGGGAATGTGCGGGGCTCCCTCGGGGGGAAGATGGATCCTGTGAAGGCACATCATGGGCAGTAAGGCTCACAGCACATTCGCAACACTGGGCCCTGTGTGTGGGCATTTCTAGCTGAAAGCATCTAACAGCTCAGTACAAAACGTCCTGCAATTGACAACAAACTCATGGAAACTGCCAGAGGAAATATTTGGTATAAAGGCCAAAGAAAATACTTCAGTATTTAAAATAAACAAAATAGAAAGCAAAATCCACCAATCTGCAAGCTGGTTGCAAATGAGATCTGCAGGCTGAGCAAATGTCTGTTGTGCATTCACTGTGGTACAAAAAGACATGTAAATAAAGTAAAAACGGACCAGTAACATATAAACTCAGTAATACCTCATTTATATTGAGAATAAAGAGTCCATTTAAAAATTAGGAGCACAATGGACACTGATAGTTTGGACACCGGCCTTTGTTACAGCCAGGCAAGAGGAGGTTAAACAAATCATGAACGTATTGTACCTCATTGGAAACGTCCACCACCAAGTTGTCATCACTCTTTTCACCGTCGCTGTCCTGCATGGACAATTGAGAAGCATTACCGCCTCCACCAGCAGAAAGAACACAAACAAAAACAACAAAATTCGAACCGCTGGGTCTACCCTGGGTTCAGCCTAACTCTTCACTACCTTAGAAAACAAACTGTGCCCAACCGTGCCGAACACTGTCGTGTCCTGGTCTCTTCAGTGTTCATGATGAGGTTATAGGCAATGGCTCCAGTTTCCAGCTTAACACACTGTGGACGACTGCTTGCTTATCACTCCGGAACAGAGGATGCAAACTGGCACGCCCAAGCATGATTCGGCCTACAGACGGCTGTAGCTTACTCTGTGCTTTAAAAACCAGAGTTCGCAGTCTGCGGGGCACCAGTGGGGCAAGCAGAGCGGGCAGTGGGAGCCTGCACACTTCCCACTCAGTGCCTCCCTTCTGTGAGACCCGCCCCGTGCCACCAGGGGCAAATGAGCCAGGGACATTCTGGAGATCTCTGAAAGTTATCACCCACAAAATCTGGGACCTGCCTCAGCACACCAGTGCAGTCAGGCATTTGAAGTGGTCTCTGAGCTTACCTTTTCCTTAGCATCTCTAGCTAACTGGAGAAAACCCAACCATCCTGAAATACACAAACACAGAACCCAAGTCCTCCATCAGCTACGTGTGAAGCACTCCGCGCATGCGCCTGTGCTCGCATAGGAGCTCAGCAGGCCACCTGAGAGTGGGAAATGCAGTAAACACTCCTTTCTCCTACAGGACGCTGCTATCCTGTGTGTTCCAGTGCTGGCGGATCAGAGCCAGAGAGTAAGATGGTTACTGACAGAAAAGCAAAGTAAGTAGCCTCTCCCCAAAGCAAAGGTGAATGAACTCACATAACGAGCTGCGATTTCCTTTTCTTCGGTTTTCTGCTTTTTGCTCTCCGAGGAGTAGTCGGTAGAGTTTCTGTGCTTCTCAGAGCCTCGGAAACTCGCTGATGGGGATACTGAGGAGCTCTGGAATTAGAAGCAGAAGCAGAGCTGAGGCATGACTGTGCATGAACTCAGTGACTTTTTCAAATTACTTGAGACATTTGCCCCTTTTTGTTCTGTAGCTCACACTTGCAGAGCTGTGAGATGGGAAGAGGAAAGGGAGGGCGACTGAAGAAAGAAACAAGCAGAGGTATGAGAAAAAGACGGAAAGGGATGGGAAAGAAAAGACCAAGTAAGAGGAGGAAAGAGATGGTCAGAGGGCAGACAGAAATGACAAAGAATGCGAGGAGAGAGCAAAAACTCAGAGGACAGTGAGTCTGGCCTCAAGTATATGTCTACCTTGTACCATTTACAAAACTTTTAAAAGCTGGAGGGAAAAGCAGATAAAAGAGAAAGAAAACAAAAACCAGGGTTTCCTTTTCTTTCCTTTTTAAAAATGTGCAGTAAATTTAAAAACACTTGTAAAGAAAAACTGTAAGTAGAGTTAACATTAAGAGATAATTAGTAATTTTTCAACAGAAAAAAAAAAACCCAGAAAATTCAAAGAGGATCCATCCTGTGAGTCGCCACACAGAAAAGATGCACCAGCAAGATCTGAAGCCAGAGAATGTGTCTCTCTGCCATGAGGGCCAGGGTTACTGTGCACACTTAGATGTTATGAAGGCTTAAAACCATGATGAGGAAGTGAAAACTACAGCTACTCTTAAGAATTGGCTAGGTGGGCATGGTGGCACATGGCTTAATCCATGGATTTGGGAGGCTGGGGCAGGAGAATCAATCACAAGTTCCAGGGCTCCATACTGAGTTCAAGACCAGCCTGAAAAACAGAGTGAGACCCTACCTCAAAAAAATCAAACAACAAAAAAGAATTGGCTATTGAGTATGTGACGGACTCACGAGAGAAAAGATCTAAGTACACGTAAGAGGCAAGAGGGAGCTGGATCCAGGGCAGACCACCCTGTGTGGGAAATGATACAGGTGTGAGTTGCAAAGTTCCTCCTATGGGACTGGTGTAGGATTTCCAAGGGTGACATTAACCCAGCTTGCTTAAGAATGGACTAATCTTAGAGAGTAGTAGAACCAGTATTTAGAGATAAAATATCTAATGAAAAACAGCTCTAGGAAGAACAGAGAATCATCAGCAGAATTATCTCTGCCTGGCATCCAAGTCACTTGAGGAAATTAGTAAAGCCCTCCTTATTTATAACCCTACTATCTCATAGAAAACTATTTTTTTTCCTTTAGCTTAGGCTGCTGGTAATAATTAACACTTATAAAGATACACAGCATTTACAAGGGCCTGTAAGCTAATTATGAGACACGGTGTGATATCCACAACTTCCAGCTCCAAGTTCCATTTTATTTCCACTGAATCACAACACCATTTGGGAACCTCTTAAAATTGTGCTCCTGCTTTGTTTTCGTACCATAACCCAGTGACTTTCATGCCCAATGAAATCAAGCATACCAATGTTATCTATAAGCCAGAATCCCACTCAGGTCTCTCCCCTCCAGCCCACCTTCCACATTTCTAAAATTCTTACTGCTCAAAGAAAGATTCTACCACTTATCCTTACTTCTCCTTAAAAATAATAAACGGTTCCCCACTGTCCACAGGAAAATTCCTTAGTATGGCCATAATCCAGAGTCCTCACTCCCTGCTCCAATCCACAGCCCTGACTTTGACTCCCACAGTGCTATGAACTTGTGCTCCCCCAAGTCTGTGTGTTTTTATTGCATCCATAGCCTTTTCCTCCGGCTTATGGAAATGCCCTTTTACTCAGAATCTATCCTTTGAAATCCTCTTCGTTCCTAAGAACCAACTCTAATGTCACTTTTCAAAGCTTCCTTAGATGCTGTCAGGCAGAATTAATCACTCACTCCTCCTCGCTACCTTAGCATTTTGTCCATCCAATGAGCAGCGAACGTGCAATAAAAGCACTGCTATTAGTTTACAAGTCCACTGCCCCCAGCAGGGTGTGGCTGCCCTGGGAGCAGGGGCATCCGGCACAGCGAGCAGCAGAGACTGCTCAGAAATGGATTTGAACAGACCGACCAAACTTACTCCCTGCACATAAAGCTCCATCTTCACCTAAAACTCATGTGATTTACTGCACAGGGCCCCTGCAAATAACACCCTAGCTGTGTTCCATGGAATCATAACACTGTCTTTTGTCTTTTACTCCTTTACCTATCTCTGGATACCTTCACCTCACTGATTTCATATTTTACAGAAAGACCAAGTGTCTATGTGCATCAGCCTTTTCATTTCAACACTCTACTTCAAGTTACTTCCTCTGTTAAAAAGCAATTCTGCGCAATAGTCAAAACAAGTTCTTAAAAAGCAATACTAAATGGTAACGCCTATTTAAATCTCACTGTGTGCTTACTGGCACAGATGTAGGACCACCAAATAGCTTTACTTTTCTTAAGCGGGCTGTTTTGGGTTGTAAAGACAGCATTTATTATTGAATTTTATTGCAGAACACAGTTATAATTTGGAGTTTGCCAATGCAATGATAAAGTAGTTAATTATCATTTAAAGGTTCGGCTGCACCACGGGTCCTGGGGCAGTCAGCTACACTCTAATAACGTAATTGCTCTGGAGTCAAGCTGGACTTGACTCCGCTCATGAATCCTGGACGTCTGGCTAGGGGGCCACTCCGATCTTTGTCGGGCATTAAATAGGAAGAACTAAGGAAGTACTGATAAAGATAGTCACGTTTTTACTAGAAAGGCTTATTTTTTATTTCGCTGTTATTTTAAAACTTCAACTACTCAGTCATCTCCATAGCTTACATGAGAAACTTGTTGGAGCTGCATTGTACAAACTACAAATTTAGAAACACTAAACAAAAGTCTTTCCATTAAAGATTTTCATTCTTTTGATCACACAGGTAAGCAAGTATGCTACGAATCCAAAGTCACATCAGAAGCAATGGTCAATTCGGAGAGGGCAAAATACAGTACCCCGAATGTGAATGTTTCGTAAAGCTCCACATTCTAAGAGTACACACTTTTACTGGAATATTAAAAAAGACTAAGACAGATTTGTTTAATTAAAGGGGAAAAAAGAGAGAAACAAAAAATAACAAAAATTTACATTTTATATGAAAATACAATTGCATTCATGGGTAGCACAAGATACACTTTAAAGGTAGTTATTCCTAAGACTGCCAATCAGGTCATTTCAAAAAAGGAGAAAAATTCTAGATCTTGGTTTGAAATCTAGCTTTTACTGGGACTGGTGACTAAGTCCACTCATGAAGCAACTCCTCCAGCAACCTGAAAGGGGTGGCTCCACACCTCTGATGCAACTCCTCAGCCACTTGAAGATCAAAGAGATGCTGCCTGTGAAAGAGTGCTAGAAAGTCCCCCCAGCCCTGTGCGCAAGGTAGTGTGACATAATTAGCTAGTTTTAATAACAGGGAGCACAGATTTTAATAGCAGGCAAGAGCACTTCCCTGCAATCAGGCTGCCTAGGTTTTAGTGTACAGCCTTCACGTAATAGCAGCATAGCCCTAGGGATGTTGCTTAGACTCAAGCCTCTGCGGCCTGGGATAACGCGCTCCTATCCCCACCGCCACTGGGCTACTTTGAGGAGTAAGAGTAATAACTGACATAAAGTACAAGGCATAGTCAGTCCAAGACACAGAACCTGGCAACTCTGGTACTTTCGCTGCACATTGCAGTCCAGCTGTTTCTATTTACTACACAAATCGGGATGGTGAACTGGTGTGAATGTTCTATTTTCAAACTCTTGTAGGAACTATTCTAGGCAATCCTGTAGTATTTCCCCTCTGCATAGATATTCAGATAGTCCATAATGATAGGGTTTCAATAGGCTGCTATTAACCAAAACACATCTCCTTTCAACAATCACAATAAGGTTTTGGTTCAATACTGCACTGAGACAGGGCTATAAATAATCTCCACAAGGGACATTCCAATTTGATTTCAAAGGCACCTCAAGCTAATTCTGCTTTCCATTCACACAGCAAATGCTCAGGTGCACTGTTCTGCACCACCCTTCGGGGTTTCTAACAGAAACATCCATTAGAGTGGACAACCAGTATCAAGAACTCTAAAACTCATTCACTATAGGTTGTTTACCTTTAGCTATGGCTTTTAAAAGCCCTCTCCACCTGGCCCAGGAAGCAGAGGCCTGTAATTCCAGCACTCTGGAAGGCTGAGGCAGGAAGATCTCAAGTTCAAGCCCAACCTGAGCAACTTAGTGACTTAGCAAGACCCTGTTTTAAAGTAAGAAGTAAAAATACGGTGGGAGATGTAGTTCAGTGGGAAGGTCCTAGGTTCAATGCTCAGTATCACAAAAGAGGGGAAAAAAAACCCTCTCTACTAAGAATGAAAGGGTAATCAGTTTTCACAGCAAAGGTGCAGAGGGCACCATGAAAATCTGGCCAGGGTGACTGTAAACACTGGCTTGCCCTTTGCTGCCCAGGCTTCCCTTTCTTCTCACAAACAGCCCAGTTTCCACGATAAATGACACTAACAGCTCCTTCGGCACAGGAATTCTCAGGTGTTCATCTAGGTAAGGCACAACATGGAGAGCCTGACTGTACCAGGGAGAACAGAGAAGGAAGGTGGGAGAGCCCTGTAGATACTCCAGTGATGTCACCACCAGACCCCCTCAATCACAGATTCCTCTGGGACCCCTCAGCAAACCAAGAGACTGACGTCCAGACCAGAAGTAAACACTGGTGGTGCTCTGGAGCTCAGGAAGGCCAGGGTACTACTGTAGGGAGGCAAAGACTCACCATACTCCTCCTACTGAGCTGAGTAACTTCTACGATGGTGGTGACGAGCCTATAGCACGCGGGCCACAGCGGACCTCTATATCATGGGAACCTCTAGAAGGTTTGCCATCACTGCTCCAGGAGGACAGAGCCTACAGTCACTCATCACCCAGAGTGCTCAGAGCACAGTGCATATTTCAGAAATGCTGTAAGTCAATAACCTTAGTAAACTGCACATCAAACAAACACAGCACTTTGTCCTAGTGTCAG